TTAGTTTGTACAGCTTTCTCCAAGTCAGGGCGTGCAATTGTTTCCCACCCCCCCCCCCCCCCCCTTTCAAATCTAACTGACCACTGAGGCTTGAATATTCTACTCTAGTACTAAAACACGTTGACGAAAATCTGCATGTTTCAGAACTAAGAAAGTAAAGTTTATGCAGTGCCACAAGTCAAAAAAGTGTAACATATTGCCTCATCAAAACTAAAATTCCAAACAATGAGTACTTGGACAGAACCGCAAAGTAACTCTTGTGACCGGGTGTAAAACCTTGGTGCTGAAAGGACAGCGCGCACTGTCACCCAGCTCCGAAACTCTTCTCGGAAGAGTCAATTCTCTGTGTTAACTCAGAAGAGATTCGGGTATAATGACAGACAGGTTTTCTTAGTTGGAACACAAGTCTGGCAAATTTGATCGATCAAAACGATGTTATGGATATTTGTTTCCCCTCGTGATTCACACCAGGATGATTTATCTTGTTTTTTGTAGATCAGAGAGAATCGATCCAACTACTTGGAGGTGTAATGCCATATCCAATAACATTGATCAGCTGTGTCATAGACTTGCTTTGCATGGAGAGCAAATCTGCCTTGAGGTTGCAGATTAATTCAGTTTTTTTTGCAGCACGAGACCAGTGCAATGATAGGGAGCAGGTGGTGCAGTGGTTTGAGAAGATACATCCACCAGACAATCCTAATTCTTAGCCCATGTATGACTGACCTCTGACCTCTGACATGCATGTAGAGGACTATAAAGTGAATATTACTTTACTATAAAAAAGTTTATCTTTACCATTAACATTAGAGCTGGACTGCAATGCCCACTAACCCCATATAATGTGTGTAATATACGTTTAAATGCACACTTATAAGTGTATCCGACCATCTACCATTTTTAAATGGCAACTATTTCATTTATCAAGTAAATAACATAATAAATACATAATTTCTTTATATTCAGCATAATATTCTGCAATGGAAGGAAACAACTTCAGCAGGGGGCGCCATTCTGCAATTACTGCACATGACAGTAAAATCCTCCAAATGTTCATTTTTATACTGTCTCATACTCCCTGAAATAACAACAACCACTTAGCCTGCAGTTTGGAGGGGTTCTGCTCTTGAAATTGTTCTGCAAAGATGGAAAACGAAAGTGCATAATTGTGCTAAATAAACCAACATTCTCGATTAACACAAATAAAAAAAAATTAAAAATAAATATTTTCTGCTTTTAAATGGCCACTTAATACAAAGTAAGGTTGCTTTTTTAAATTGTTGTTTTTTTTTTACAATTGTGAGTATTGTAGTGTGTAACTATGCATTTCAATGCTGGCCAGTGTGTCTTCCTTCCTTTGACTGATGCTGCAATGTGTTGGAGATCTGCAGCAGCAGGAATTATGAACAGGCATGCAATGTGGTTTATGGTCGTGCAGTTGTATGACCATGTCACATGTGAAACTATTATCCAATATGTGTAAGTCCATGAGTCATGTTCCTGTGGTAAGGTAAGCCTCACACATGTGGTGTGGTGGGCACTGGTTTCAACATGCTGATTTTGTCATTGTATTTTCCTCTGCAAGACTTTCTATTTAATTTAGGAGGATGTGGTTGTCTTCCCATAAACATGCCTCTTTTTTCCTGGATTACTTGTTCTCAAGACTTTGTCCAAAGGCGAGGCCTTCTCTGATGTTGGCCACAGCAAAGGGCACGCTTCTGTGATCAAGGATGTTGCAACTATTTTCACTCTGAGGGTCACTTAAACTGACATTGGAAAAGGCATTCATGTTTTACCAAAAATAAGCTTGGTTAGCATGCGCAGTAAAGTTCAAGCTTCTAAACTGGTACTCTTCCATCTTTTTTTTTAAATACAGGCATGAGTTTGATGAATAATGACCTATCACTGTCCTGCCCGTGGTATTTATGCTAGACTTTCTCTCCATGTGTTTCTGGTCATAGAACATCCTCCTAATAGATAAAATACATTTGTCATGCCTCCTAATGCTCTGGTATACTTGATTTCAACTTTCACAGCTTCTTTATCTCCCCTCATGTGACTTTCCGTAGATGGTTGGCTTTTACCTTATGCTATAACTTGAGCTGGGTGTAAATTGCAAGTATTGAATATGGAAATTGTAATTACCTGTGAAGAAGCAGAGTTTATAGTTGGATACAGCTGTAAAGGAAATATATGATATGTGTAGTTGGCAAGCAGCTGCAGAGAAAAGGAAGTACGTTTGATAGCTTAATGGTTCCCTCATTTTCTTGTTATAAAGGACATATACAAATTTTCAGGTTCATTCTTGTATTTTGGGTTTTACTGGAACATGTTTACCTGCTTTAATGTTCAAAAACACATAGTTTTTCTCATACTGACTGTCTGAATACACCTGTATTCACCCTCTATCTGAAACGCACTTTAGCACCTGTTTCTTCAAGCCTCCCTCCTGAAAAAGCTCTGCTCTGATTGTCTTGCAAAATAAACCCCCAACAACTTAAAACTTTAACATATATATGTAGGTACACACATTTAATTAGACATCTGTATTTAACCCATTCTGAGCAATGGGCTCCTGTAAAGGACTTGGGGTTCAGTTTCTTTAATGGAAACTTAATGGAGTACTGAGGCATTTTACTCCTAGAAGGGGGGCACTAGAACCCAGGCACAATTTGGCCAATCAAGGTGAGAGCACCTCAACCATTAAGAAGCTCATTGAGCACAGGTGTGTCAGCTTGATTCCTGCTCCACTGCTTCCTTAGTAAGCCAAACAAAGGGTACATCCCAAGTCTCTTATTTGTCTTTTCCTAGCTCCTCGCTTGAACCGGAAGTTGTTCTGCGCCGCCATATTGACGGCATTCCCAAAGCTCTTATTTCTGCACTGAGGAGTGAGGATCTAGGAGCGAGGATCTAGGAGCGAGGAGGGATCTCTGAGGAGCCATGAGCAAGGATGCACCAGAGCAGTCTTCCAGGAACTTTTTTAACGGTTGACACGCCTCCTTATTGGCAGAATGAAACAATATGCCAAGTTGTCTAAAGGTTCTGAACAAATTTCATTTGCACCTGCCAACAATGGTGATTTAAAAGAAATTATATTGTCAAAATGAAAAATGACTTAATAATCTTTACTTATCGGAGAATTGCAATCACGCAATAACAATAATCTGAGCCAACAAGAAATGTGTTCCTCATACAGCGCTGCAGAATGGAGGCAAGCAGCATCTGTCTCTGGATCAGTAGAGGTTAGAAAAAGACACATCGTTTCTGCAATGCAATCATTATTAATCATTATAAACTGAAAAGGTGATTAATAGGACTTTACTGTATATTGAGACATACATTTATACAGAGGTCATCTAGGAACTCCATATTCCTGTTTTAAATTTTCACCATTCAGTTCTTGATGAATGGGCTATTTTAAAACAAAAAAAACGCTGAGTTGCCGTTGAAGTGCCGTTCAAACTGTTTCTGGCCTCCTGGCAAATGTAAATTCATTATTCATTCTCCTTTTAGCTCTCTTTTACTTTAAACTCCTGCAAAAAATATTGTGCTGTTGAGGTGCTAAATGATCTGCTATATTAGCTAGTCACTACCCGTGTCTTTCTGCTGTTTGGTGCTGGACAGTTAATGTTCAGTGCCTCAAAACAGCTGCCTGCTGCACCTAAAAACAAAGCTATAATAGCGGTGAGAGTGAACTAAGACAGTAAATTTGTGGGCCGGAAAACCCCAACAACAAGCTTATTGTGGATAAAACGCTAAG